AACTCACGCCGGGCACGTGTGCGTGCGTGCCCAAGATCCCGAGAGGAGAATGGAGGAGAAGGGATTGCGGCGTGGCCATCCCCCCTGGGGGGTGATTTCTCACTTTCTGTCTCTCTGTCTCTGTCTGTCTGGCGAGCGCACGCGCCCTATAGCAAAAAAAAAAAAAACAAAAGCGATGGAAGGCACACAGCTGGCCTCGCTGCCCTCTCAGCCCGCCTGGCCTCCACACCAGCTCCTGGCCTCGGCTTCTCTTCCCCAGGACTGCAGCAGCCTCGCTTCCACCCCACCAGCCTCCTGGCTCCTCATGTGCCCCTGGTCCCGGCTGGCCTTGGCAGGACGCCTGGCGTTCCCCGTGTCCCAGGCTCACCCTGCTCCCTGCTCTGGGCAGACTGGACCACTGGCTATGCACCCTGGGTAGGGTGCACCCCTAGCAACCCAGCACAAAGGCCACCTCCTCCCTGCAGCCATCCTTGCTGGGTCAGAGGCCCCAGCTCTCCTCTGTGCCCTCCTGGGGTGGACACCGTGGGTCACAGGGCGCTGCAGCCGACAGCATAGCAGGTGTGCACCGGGCTCCAGCCTGGCCCCACTGTGTGCTGGCTGCATGAGAGCCGGCACGGTACTCCCGCACTCCTCCGTTTCCTCCTTGTACCACTCGCCTTCTGAGAACGCTGGGTCCCTGCCAGCTTTGTGGGGATCGTTTCCTTCTGCCCCGCCTCCCCGTGCCAGTTCCTGCCTCAGCAGCCCCCTGCCCCATAGCCAGTACCTGGCATCCTGGCTCGCAAGGCCCCATTCACTTCTCGCAGGCACCTATCTCTGGGCCTCACCCCCTTGTCCATCTTCCCCACCAGAATCCCCCCATCCTGTCCCTCCCAAGCAGCTCCCAGGGTCATCAGGGCTTGCGTGGAGGTAGCTGTTGCCTTCTTGAAGTGTCCCGACCCCATGGTTGTTGCCATGGGTGGGGGCACTACTGTAGGCCCTGCACCCCGTTTCCCATGTGCTTTCAGCTGACGGTGCTGCAGGGTCACCACAGACTGGCCGAGAATGGCAGGGGGAGAATCTCTAACCATTCTGTGGCCAGAGGC